TGCTTGTGTTAATTAAGGATTAGGGGATGGGTAAAACAGCAGGGGTGCTCATCTGCTAAAGTGGGAAAGGATATTTACACTCGTAATTTCTTCTGATTAAGATAAAAATTCCAAGTTTCTATAAAAAATAAGTTTGAGCAACTGACAAGCAGGGAGCAGTTCTTAGCATGGGAAGTGAAATAAGCACAAATTTTGAGTTATGTTCCAATTCTGTTTCTCAGGGTCCACTTTATTCTTGTAGGGACCCCCCCCAGATGGTGCAGTTTGTGAGAGTGCAAGCTGAGGGCAGCCCCTTTCCAGTCAGACTGGAAGATTACTTGTACATCTGCCTTCATCCCAAATGGCCTCTCTTCTAACAAATTCAATGTTCTTCTATAGTCCCAACCCAGGTCATGGACCTATATGATTAGGAGGGGTATAGGTCTTGCATTTTGAGGGTATTCGTAGTCAAACTTCATAGTACTTGTTAATGCATGGTAATGTGGGATCCACAGACATAGTCAGTATACAGTCCCCTTTCCCTTTGCATCTCTCCCCAGATCGTTAGAAGTGGAAGAGGAGACAATGTTGCTGTGCAGCAGTGATGACATAGTAGCTAATGCTTCTATCTTGAGCTGAGGATGGGAGCTTTCCCTTGGTAATTTTACATTTGTGTGTGTGTGTGACAGCTCTAAGTGATTCTCTCATGTAATAAAATATAATTTGATTATACATCATATTGTCCCTATTTATATGGTATAGCATATGCAACTTTATCTATTAATATGTAAGTTCAAAGGGATGGAGAAACAATGAGTCATAAATACCTTTGCTGTTCCTGAAACCACTCAGAATTTTGCCCTCAGTACAGTTGAAACAGCATAAAACCTTGAAAATACAGTGTTAGGTAAGCACTATCTGGTAGAAATAATTATGGCAGGGCAAACCAAATTTTAGTTTTCTGAATCTGAAGACATATTAATTTTTTAAAAATAGATTTTTCTCATGAAAGAGTCAGTCTTAGATTCTTGTCACTGAATAGAAATTCACGTAGCAAAATTTCTCTAGCGTGTTTTCTGATGACTGCCAAAGTCAGTCTTGCAAGTGTACTGAGATGTGGTTAAATATATTTAGATTACAGACATCAGTTGATTTTCTTCTGTTCAGTGTTTATATGGTATTTCAGTGTAGTAGTCTGTAGAGGTTGCATTTTCTGGTTTTATTGTTCCTTTTACCAAGAAGAACATAGAGAATCACTGAGATCAGAAATTTTATCTAATCATTTGACTTGAGAAACAAAGTTATGAGAAAGCTTCCCATCCAGTATCACAAGGTCTGTAGTAATACGTATATATTTATATAGGCAGCACTTTTTGACCATTAGGATCTGACCTTGATGTATACCTTTCCACAATTTTCTCCTTTAAACTGAATGCATAAAAGACTGTTAGTCACGAGTAACAGTGGCAAATTTACTGGGAAGCTTCCCATCGAGCTAATGGCTCATTACTGCTGATGATCCTGCTTCCCTTGCTTCACTGGTGACGTAACTCTTCCATCTCTTGTATCATCAACTCTTTCTAACCTTGCTGCCATCAGTCATTAATACAACCTGTGAAGGTACTAGAGATGCAGACAATCTTTAAAGTAGCTGTTCTTTCTTTGCCAAGATTTAGCATTTCCATCAGTATATAGGCTTACTGGGCAGGAAGTGGTACTGCAATATGTGAAGTGGATCAGGCTGAAATGTTTGTTTTTTAAAGTTTCTTACATGTCTGGTTAAAAAAAATTAAGTTTCAGAGACTGTCATTGCAAAAAAGAAAAGTAATTTTGCATTACAGATTACTTTAGTATTAGGTTGCATTCTCTCTGATTTTTTTTCCTGTCATGTCTAGCATTTTAGTGTCATGTTAACAGCACCAAGGAATATTTTGCTTCTCATCTTTAACACAGTTTCTTAATACCGTGGGCTTTTTCTTGCACACTGTAGTGTATGCATGCATTTTAACATAGCTTTGCCCTCTTCCTGCATTAGGAAAGCTAAATTTCAGGATTAAAGGAATCAGTAATGTGTTGATCATTCTGAAATCTCAGTGTGAAGTTAACAAATAAGGATGCAATAGGAACAAGGGGAAGGGCTAGCTTGTATCTGTGAGGAGAGGCTGGTTCTGTACAGTAGTGGCCAAAATGTTTCTTTGCTGGGTAGTTGCCAGTTTTTATAGGCAATAATTAGCAGGGATTTTTTTGTTCTGGGCTTTTTTTGCCTTGCCTAGTGAGTTAGCTGTCAGTTAGGGGGAGCTCTCTTCAAGAAAAACATTGAGGTATTTCATTGTTGCCTACAGTAGCACAGTTACTTCTGAGGGTTGATTTATAAGAGGAACATTAATTATTACTATTATTCTAGTTTTTAATGTGTTTGGGCTGGGCTGACAACAAAAATAAATGTCCATTGTGTGCTTATTGATGATTGTAAAATATTTTCTACACAACAAACTGGAAAAAGGACAGTAACTTGGTTAGTTTAAGAGGCCTCATGACATGATCAATAGTGTTTAGTTCTATGGCTTCCAGATGAATTCCCCACTGCAAGTCTTCATGTGCCACAAATACCAAGGAGTCTAGATTTCATCAAGTGGTGCTTATCCCAGGGGCAGTCCCTGAAGTTGGCACAGTGACAGTGGAACAATGGCCAGCAAGGCAGCTGCTGTGTTGAAGTTCCCTGAGAATTGCGGGTGGCTGTGGAGGAGCCACAGGTAAAATGATGGCAGCTCAGCAGCAGCAGCATCAGGGGTACCCTTTGTTGCAGGAAGGACTTGAAAGTTGGCATTCCCACCCATCAAGGGATAATCTTTGCTCATCATCTACACCCTAAAATGGAGTAGCATTTACATCTTTACTCAAAAGGTTGACAACCTGTGGTGGACACTAGCTGAATGGTGCCAGTAGGAGACGTGGATGCTTGTCTATCAATTGCATGAGATTTCAGTACCCTGTGTCTTACTTAAGTAATTCCTGACATTGGAGGAAGAAAGCAGTGTGAGTTGGTTTACCTGCACTGTATGTAGTAACTAATGATAATCTCAGGCAGCCACCCGCTATTTGGAGATGGGACATGATAAGATAACCTTTTGGTTTGTCTGTCTGCCTTTCTTCCCATCTCCTTCTCACATAGTAATAGTAAAATCTTTAAAAGGTCCAATGTGGAATCCACATTTGAGTCTCATCACTATTATGGACACAGTAAGGGCCAGAATGGTCTCTAACCAAATGGTCACTAAGAAAATCTGTGAAAGTAAGCTGGGAAAAAGTTAAACTAGGCTTTCCTGTGTCCTCTAGAGCACATGACAGGACAGCTAAGATGATCTGTGTTGTGAGAAATGCCCGTTCACCACAGACATCTAGACAGTGACCACCTTGATGTCTCCTCATTCCTTCTTGAGATGTTGCACAACTCCAGACGATGGTTTTACCATTTTGGGCAAAACCTTGGTTGGTTTGGTTTTGGTTGGGTTTTTTTGAGCCTTTGGGATGTGAGCTCTGGGTGGACTGGTCACTGTTTTGGCATCCCCAGTGGTGGAATGCAAGTGTGGACAATCACTCTGAGGAAGAGGAGCATTTACTGACATCCTTATCCACATTCCAGGGCTTGCCTTTCATCTCCTCATCTGCATCACTGTGCCAAAAGAAGAGAGAGCATAATTACTGTTCCACCAGTTGTAGGGACAAAGCTGAGAGGCTCCTGCCTCTTGCACTCTTTGTGTGGGCTCTGAATTCCTCAGCAGGTAACTGCACAGTCATCATGAGACAGATGATACAGCCCAGGAACTGTTACTGTGGTTTAGTATTCAGGTTAAGGACTTGGTTTATTTTTTTTCTCCAGTAGTCAAGAAATGTGCATTCATGTTATGTGGCCTGTCCATGCTAGAGGAATACAAGTGACAAAAGGCAAATGCATTAAATTATCAACAGTCATTGACATCATCAGCAGTATGTTGCTTTATATCGCCTTAGGAAAGAATCTAAGATGCTTTATTTCCTGCTTCTTGGGGAGAGGTGAGAGAGATTTAATCAAACTTGGAAAATTCCCTTGCATGATAGCAGTAAATCTGATCAGATGATAGCATTCATGCCAAAGCTGTTGATGTGGTGTCTTAACATCTTTTTTGTTTGAAAGAGATTGCTTGACTTGTAAGCAGATGCTTACAAACAATTAAAATTTTGGTGAAGTTCTTTATTTAATAATACAGGGAACTTGGTTGTTGGTGTCTCAAGAGTGATGATGGTTTATTGTTTTCATTCTTAAGTATCATGTTCAGTGCAATTTAAGAATTATATGTTGATCAAGCTGACTGCATACGCGTGTATGTATGTGCTACGTAGGTAACTGACCTAATCACAGGATATTAGGGGTTCGAAGGGACCTCCAAAGATCATCAAGTCCAACCCCCCTGCCAGAGCAGAACCAAAAAAAACCGACTAGGGCAGATCACTCCGAAAGGCATCCACACAGGTCTTGAAAGCCTTCAGAGGAGGAGACTCCACAACCTCTCTGATTCTTGAAAGTGGTTATTTTGATAACTGCAGGTATTAAAAATTGAGTACATTAGAGTTCATAAGTCTTACTTAAAGTTCAAATGGATTACACAGGTGTGGCTTTTTTTTAAATCAGATTTTATTTGTTCTAAAAATATAAATAATAAATACAATCTCAAATATTTTAAAAGCATAAGTTATACAAAAATTTTTCTGGCTTCTGAAAATATTTTTCTGTTTAATACATATTAAATACATTGATATTCTGAATGGTACCATTAGAAATGAAATAAACTTTGTCCTTCATTTAAATTATTCCTAAATATAAAAAAATATAAATAAGAGACATTAGAAATGAATAAATATTTTAAATATAATAAATAGGTTCCTAGAAGGAAATGAGCATGTATATAAATGCAAACCATTGTTACTATTTCTGGTTCTTAAAACAGAACAACACTGTCATCTGCCACATGACAGATTTGTAACATAGGATTGTGCCTGAATTAAAACATTCAGACACTGAAACTCCTGGTGTTTTTCAAATAGCGAACAGCCCTCACAGTTTTCTCCATAAATGAAGTAAAGTCTCGGAGGATGAGGTGGGTGGTGATTTTCTCTATCCAGGTCTTATCTGACTTCAGCTTTGCACGGAGAGATTCCTGGGTAGCTGAGTCTGGGATGGTCACGTCCTCGGGATTGATCACCTGTGGAAAAGACAATATTGGGGTGCCCTGGTTAAAACATTGTCATGGAGTTTGTTGGAGAGCGTCAGTTTATATGTTCCAAACCATCTTCATATCCACCTTCTCTGTACTGCGGATGACAGACCTCTCTGGGACCTGTGCTTCCCTACAGCCCTTCCTTTGCCTTGGGGTATGAGGTACGTTGATGCCTGCTGCAGTTACTGTGGAGGAATTGGAGGGTCTCACCTGACTTGTATTGTTTGTTTCAATGTCTGGGGTCGCGGTCCAACACACTGCACTGAACAGATCAATACACCTCTCCTGCTCTATGCTGACCTTGTGGTTAGGTGGGAAGATGCTGATCATGACTTGTCCTAATCTGTACTGGCTGGTACCCCCTGAGTCATAAGTAGATGACATTGGAATACTCTTAAATTTTGTAATAGAATAACAGTTTCCAAAGATGTCAAACTTGTTTAGCTGCTTAAGTCTTACTTTCCAGGCTTTGAGGCACGTGGGAGACTAATTCTCACCAACTTGCAATGATGTGTGGGATCTTGACTGCAAGATGAGTGAAAGGAGGTATGTATCTAATGCTGAGTGACAGGGCTGTGCACCCAGTACCCAAATACCTTTTAAGAACTTGTCTTACAAAGTGGGAAGGTGACGTCTGAAAATGGGAGGCACTCATCCAAGTCATGGACCTGTTTTAGATTATCTGGGGTGTAGAAATTTAAAGTAGCTGCTTCATCCTGGATTTTAGCATCTCCTCTACCCTCTACCAAGTGACAAAAGCATGCATGCCTCCTTCTGGAACATCTGTTTTGTTAAGTTCAGTAGGATATGAATGTTCTTTCTGTTCAGTCTACTTGGCAGTGGACTCTGATCACACACCCCATTGCTGGTATATCCAGCTCCTTTTTGCATGCTGTAAAAGTTTGTATCTGGATACCCAGACAGGTATCATGCTGATGGATCTACCTGACCAGAAATGACAGATTCTATCCTTCCTCTCCTTGCCTTAAATAGCAGATAGACTTCTCTTGTAAAGAAAAAATTCAACCTGGAGATCAAGGCTCCTCTTTCTCAAAAACTCTATATAGTTTCTACAAGTTTTGCTTTTGATCATTGTGTTTAATTCTTCCTGTTCCAATTACCTCCATCCTACTAATTTTCAAAAAAAGTTAATCTCCCCTAGTTATGAAATAAACTTTCTGCAAACTAAAGTATCAAGTTGGAAGCCAGCAGTCACCTGCCAGCTTATCACGGGACTATTAGCTAGCACAGTGTGAAAAATGCAGTCCAGCTCCCTTTCACTTAGAGTGACAGACATAAACAAATATGTTAGGAAAGGTATGGCAAACACACAATGGGCTTTTCAGAGGCCAAAAAACACCTTAGAGGAAATAATGCCCTGAAATTTCTGTTCTTACTCACCTGGGTGGTTCTTACTCAAGCAAATAGTTTCCCTGATGACAAAGGAAGTATTCATGTTAAGGGTTATTAACATGAGTAAGAACTGCAGGAATGAAGTGAATTTTTTGAAGTGTGATCTTTCAGAGCTCTCCAAAACATAGAAAGTTACTGTCAGAAATTAATACATTGAGTTTACTGACTTGAAAGTGAATTGGATGTTTGTAAAGAAGGAAGATTTTTTATGATGATGACAAGCAAAATGTATGCTTTTCAATAGGCAGCACACCTTTTACTTCGTCAAGTTATTAACTTATTTTCTGAACTTAACTGTCTTCCTTGGTTTTTAAGCTACTGATACCTCAGTGTATCATACAGCTTGGCTTAAAAGTTTGGTTTGGGGATTTTTAAAGATTAGTAATACTGTATCAAATGTATATGCTTTTATTTATGTGGGCTTTTAAAAAATGTTACTTATTTCTGCTTCTCAGGGGGTTGCAACAGTAGAAGTCTTGGACCAAACTGCAGTTCCACAATTAGGAACAAGCTCCCTGAGAATTCTTAGCTTTGTTCTTAAAACAGTATGGTGCATTTAATTGTTGGTTTGAAAACTAAAACTTAGAATAGAAAGTAGGAAGAAGAGTCGTTTAAGAAAAGAAAACCTTGTGCAACCTGCAAGTTAGTAATAAGGGTAAGTATGAGAGAAATGAAAGTGGGAAAATGTTCAGCTTCACGTAGCATCCTGTTTCTCTGAGTGCACCTCAGTGCTCAGCCATAGCAATTACTGGAGTGAATTTAGAGTGAACTCACCATCTGCCTTACGGTACGTGCCAGGTGCTCTGTGCTATAGCACAGAGATTCAATGTTTTGCTTTTCACTGGTAAAAGTTTCTTGTATGTATTCAAGGTATGTCATAAACGTATAAAGCCCGCTGGAGATTTTCCTCAAGCATTTATCCTGAAACGAGAGAGAGGTGAGAAAGTCACTTACAGCTCAGTAATGTCTCAATCACAATATCACGTATAGAGGGTAAGGGGATGATGCTTATACAAAGCATGGGGTGTCTGTGCCACAGCAAAGGCAGCTGGAGCAGACACAGATCTCTGGGTCAACTTCCCGCCGGTTTTGGTTCTTTAAGCAGGTAAAAATTGCTCCGGTTGTAGACCAGAAAGGAGAGCAAGTTCCTTGCCTCATTGAAACCGGCGAGCAGACACCCGTCGTCCTCCGTCACCTTGGGGAGGTTGAGGTTGTTCCTGACGAGCATTTCCATGCTGTTCTCGCAGACGGTGAACTTCTCGCACATCTGGGGAGAAACACCAAGAGTTTTGGTCGCACCTTGCCCGGAGGAAGCCACCCTGGGGCCGGCTGCGGTGCGTCAGGACGGGCGCGATCCGCCGGGCCGTCCCGGTACCCACCTCCTGCTGCAGCTGGGCGGCCCGCGTGTGCAGCAGCCGG